AAAAAAAAGACAAGCTTTTTTGGGGGGGGGGGGGATTTGGCTTTGTGCACTTATCCAAACAAAAGGCTTCATTTGACTGTCTTGCAGTCTTGCAGTGCATGTTTTTTTAAAGCGAAGCATGGCACTGCGTTTACACGTGATCTGATCCTGGTTCACTGGCAAACACAAAAACAACATTTTTTGGGGGGGGGGGGGATTTGGCTTTGTGCACTTATCCAAACAAAAGGCTTCATTTGACTGATGTAGTCTCTTGCAGTGCATGTTTTTTTAAAGCGAAGCATGGCACTGCGTTTACACGTGATCTGATCCTGGTTCACTGTAAATGCAGCAAACACAATCTCTGCATACGTTGAGGTTTTAATACGCATTTAGGATCGCAACGTGCGGCTGTTACAAATTCACAGAATTTCCAACATTTTTGTGGACAGATGAAACCATTTCATTAGACTTGTAACAAGACATATTTTTGAACCCGTTTTCACAAACGCTATAGTTCCCTGCCAAAAAAATAAAAGCTTGCGGGTTAAAAAAAATTAAGTAGTAAGTATTGTAATTTTACAATAAAATATTTAACTGAAACTTATGAAATCAGAATCACTGATGACTAGTGCGGGTAGATTTATATAAAAAGTAATTCACTAATATTTACTTCTATACTAAATTATATACTATATTTTATTGTACAATGCAGCTGTATTTCAGTAACAATAATAATAATAATAATGTAAAATTATTATTATATTCAAATTGTTTGGCTTCCTAAAAACATCAGTGTGAATGTGGACCGAGACATAGCAACCAAAATAAAGAATGAATCCACTTCATAATGCATAACATTTTTAATTAGATATTTTATATTCAACATTAGACATTATGCCAAACAAAAATTGGCAGCATATTAGCATTAAGTACTCATAATGCATATATATTTATATATAATATACACACATACATAAACATGTTTTTATTCTAGTGTCAAAAATTTAAAAAAAAAACATTTATAACTTTGATGATTTATCTATGTCACCCTTTCTTTGACGGCTTCCACTAATGGTTAGCCTGGTTTGAGGCTGATATAAGCATTTTAAGGGATTTGGGTAAACTACAATGGGGGAAAACACCCAACACAGCTTTAAAACATCCTTTAACCAACAGGAGAAGGCAAAGAGACACCCATTTTGTCCAAGGATGCTTTCAATGTTAGGACTCCTCATGCAGCTGTCATCAGACATAACCACCTCCATCACCAACCATTTTGACTAAGTTAGTCGAGTTAACCAAATTGAGTTTGTTTACACATTTCAAGAAATGTAAAGTCACTGGAAGAGACTATGGTTAATATTAGAGCTACAGCTTTTGGAATTGGATGTTTACATCATGAAAAAATAAACAAACGAGAAGGCAAAGAGACACCCATTTTGTCCAAGGATGCTTTCAATGTTAGGACTCCTCATGCAGCTGTCATCAGACATAACCACCTCCATCACCAACCATTTTGACTAAGTTAGTCGAGTTAACCAAATTGAGTTTGTTTACACATTTCAAATAATGTAAAGTCACTGGAAGAGACTATGGTTAATATTAGAGCTACAGCTTTTGGAATTTGATGTTTACATCATGAAAAAATAAACAAACAAACAAAGCATACCATTAAACTCAAACTATTCTTTATCTAAATCACCTTCGGGTTGTGGGGGGGGGGGGTAGTATTGACTAATAATATTATTGACTATTTGCATCTATTTGATTAAAAAAAATTCTAAATCTAATCATAAAACACCCCAAAAAAATGTTTATATAATAGAAAAGCTGTAAATAAATGCCCAGAGCAGTTAGACAATTTGCCAGGGAAAATGTGCATATGACGTACAGCAGGTGGCAGGTTTTGCTTCATTTCAAAAGTATATTTATATAAGAGTTTATTTATCTGTTTTATTTCACCTCTATTACAGGACAACTGAAGAAAAGGCTCTTACCCAAACCTCTCTTTTCTTTTGAATGAAATTAAGACCAACAAAAATGCATCTTTGGCATCATTCTTACAGTTTCTAAAATCTTTATGACCAAATAATCATTTTGTGTTTATTTAAATTTCTCTTTATTATGCGATGCACTTTTTATATGTGATGCACTTTCAATTACCATTGGAATAAAATGTACAAACTGATTTTTAAAAAGGTCAGTTCCCTTCCGAACGGTCTCTCCCGTTGCGTGAGACGCTAAGGGGAAAACGGTTGGTTGAAAAGGGTTGAAGACGCCCCTGGAGTGAGGATTTCCTGCGGCCATCCGGCTCTTGAAGAGCAAGACTGAGAGCGAATTTCCTAAAGAGAAAATTTCAGCTCCCTTGCATGAGATGGACGGGCACAGTGAGTGCGGTGCAGAAGAGTGGGGAGGTTCCAGCAGGGAGCCCGAAGTCCTTCCCCATTCTCAAACTCTGAGGCCGAAATGGACGCCGAACTCATCCGCGTCCTGTCAAAGGCGGTAGAGGATCTGGGCCTCGAGTGGTCGGCTCCGGAAGAGCCCGCCTATGGCCTGTTAGACGAGTGGTACCTGCCGGGAAGTCGTCAACATTCCTCTCGCCAACGCCCCACCCCGTTCTTGCCTGCAGTTCATGACAAGCTCACCAAGACGTAGCGCGCCCCGTACTCACCCCGAGTAAATCTCTCTACAGCAGTGGCTCTCACCACTGTTGACGGCGCTGATGACAAGGGACACAGCAAGCTCCCCCCTCTGGAGGAAGCAGTTGCTGCTCATTTGTGCCTGCCATCCACCCTCAGATTAAAGGCCCACGCAGCGCATCCCTCTAAGCCCTGCAGGACCACCTCGGCGCTCACCAATAAGGCTTATGCAGCAGCTGGCCAGGCCGGGTTGGCGCTGCATACAATGGCGGTTCTCCAAGTGTTTCAAGCCAAGCATCTCCACAGCATGGACAAGTCTGGCCAAGAACACCAGGAGGTTTTCAAAGAGCTGCGTACAGCAACAGACCTGGCTTTGCGCGCCACAAAAGCAACAGCGCAGGCGATCAGCAAGACCATGGCCAGTTTGGTGGTGCTGGAGTGCCACCTATGGTTGAACCTCACTGAAATCAGGGACGCTGAGAAGATGGCTTTCCTTGACTCTCTGTTCTCGCCGAAGAGCCTGCTCGGCCCCGCTGTGGACGAGTTTGCAGAAAGGTTTGCGGAGGCTGGAATGCCCCGAAAAACAACTCGCTTTCATCCTCCATGCCTCCGAGCACCTCTGAGCAATGGAGTTTCGTTTCCAGTGGGTCACGTCCTGCAGGTACCCGAATGTTTTATCGCTTTGATATCGGACCCACATACAATAAAGAGCAAATTTCCTCTTCACACTCTCTCACGCACTCACATGAATGCAAGTTCCCTGCCTTCTCTCGGCGAACTCTCATTCGCAAAAATAAACCCTCGCCTCCCGTTTCACGGCTTAGGCAGCCATTCCGGGAGTGTCAAGTTGGGTTTTGAAGACAATTCAGCGAGGTTAGTCGCTTCAGTTTGCTCGCAGGCCACCTCGCTTCAATGGCATTGTTCAAACTTCTGTTCTGGACAACGAAGGGCTCATTCTCCGACAAGAAGTGCAGACATTGCTTGCAAAAGGTGCTGTGGAAATAGTGCCCCCAGTAAACAGCGAGTCAGGCTTTTTCAGCCGCTACTTCCTCGTTCCAAAGAGAGATGGCGGGCTCAGACCCATTCTGGATCGCAGACATCTGAACCACTCGCTTATGCGCCGGTCATTCAAGATGTTAACTATTAAAAAGATCCACGCGCACATTTGCCCCGAGGACTGGTTTTTGACAGTGGATCTGAAAGATGCATACTTTCACATCCACATAGCCCCCCAACACAGACCGTTCTTGAGATTCGCGTTCGAGGGTGTGGCCTATCAACACATAGTCCTTCCGTTTGGACTGTCTCTGGCCCCGCGCACTTTCACGAAGCACATAGATGTGGCTCTTTCCCCTCTGAGACAGATGGGAATCCGTATTTTTAACTACCTCGATGATTGGCTGGTTCTAGCAAGATCAGAATGGGAGTTGGCTGCTCACAGAGAGCGGTTACTCAGCCACGGAACAATCCCTGACTATTCAGCGATTGGTGGCGTATCTCAAACCGGCGAATGGGTGCTACACCCTCAAATGGTTCAAGAGATCTGGTCAGTCTTCGGGAGTGCAGAGATCGATCTCTTTGCCTCAGAAGACAACTCTCACTGCCCAACATACTTCTCGATACAGCGAGATGCTCTTCCCCATGACTGGCCCAGTGCTCGCCTATACGCATTTCCCCCGATCGCCCTGATTCCTCAGGTCGTCAGGCTGGTCAGGGAGACCAAGTGCTCTCTCTCCTCCTAGTGGCCCCGCTCTGGAAGAACTAGGCCTGGTTCCCAGAGCTAGTGCAGCTCTCAGCAGTAGCCCCATGGCCCCTTCTGCAGAGGAGGAAACTTCTCTCGCAAGCTGAGATAAGGGAACGAGCGTTGCGTCACTTGCCATGCTATAAGCTGCACACGAATCGATGACTGTCGCTTCAGTTGAATGATCAGATGAATGGCACTCTGAGCTGACTTATATAAGGGTCGGCTCTGCCCTTTCTGGTGGGCTAAAGTGCCATTGGTTTGTGCAGCTACACAAACGTGAACAAATCAGGCTTCAGTACAGAGTAAAACTGGAGTTTTCCCCTTAGCGTCTCATGCAACACTCGTTTCCTTATCTCAGGGAACCAAGGCTACGTCAGTAACCGGAGCGTTTTCTACACAAACTATAAGTTCATCATTCATATCTGAGAAACATCAGAAGCTCAACATGCCAACAGAGTCTTTTCTTAGTTTATTTTATTCAATTTATTTATTTATTTCATTAAACCATTTTTGATTAGGCCCTATTGGTAATATGAAGATATTAGCTTTAGGACAATGACATGAAATATCTGTGTGAGTTCATCTTTAGTGACATCAACACTCTCAAGGACAATCAGTGTGGAGGTTGAAGTTATTTTTAACCAAAACTTTGTTTAATGAGTTAAAGAGTGACTTTCCGTAAACACATCACATACTATACTGGGAATCGTGTGGGTGCTCGAGTTTAGTGCACTTTGTGCTCGGATGAGAATCTGCAAATAGGAAAGATTCAGTGAGCTAAAAATAGTGAACAGCTCCTGATGATGAACAGATGAAATGTGCTTCTGATGCTTGATTGGTCAATCACTGCATCTGCAGTCCAATATTGTTGTATGATTGAGCATTGTCCCAAAATAATGGTAACTTTAAAAAAATAATTTAGCATAATTTAGAATCAACCTAAAATAATCAAATTCATAACAACAAAACTCATTTTTATGTATTAGTTCAGGTAAAAATGCCTCTTTAAGGACATTTTTTAGCTATATTTCTTTGTTTCTTATTTGACTCCACACTCATCCTTCTTAATGCAAAATAAAATTGGTAGCATCTAAAATAACTGGTTTTATTAAAGTCAAATGTTATGTATTATTTTGAATCACTAAATAAACCTAAATACATATACCAACAACACTATTTTTGTGGGTTAAATGAGGTAAAACAATGTTTTTAAGGTAATAATTGCAAGTTGCTACTTTTGCAGGCAAATGGATATTAGCTGTTAGTTTCTCATTTTACTCCACACTCATTTTTCTTTATGCATAATAAAATAATTTCAAGTCAAATCAATATTTCATGTCTGTTTTTTATTTTATTATTAATGAGTGTCTCATTGAGTTTGCAGTGAAAGGAACACACTAGAAAAAAGGTAACATCTAAAATAACAAAAAATAAGTCAAAAATAGTGTATTATTTAACATTATCTATATGCATTGATTTATACAAACAAAACTCATTTTATTCGGTTAAATCAAATTAAATAATTTAGAAATAGCTCTTTTTTAAAAGTTGCCAGCCACAAGCAGCATTTTTGACCATTTTCACAAACATTTCATGGCCCCAGAATAATTGTTGTAAGAATATCTGAACATGAAGTCCCAAACTGAATCAGAAGATTTGCGAAACCCGCTCCGAAGTTCTGATATGAATTCAAATAATTTGCGATCCGCTCTCTGTATTCCCGATCTGAATGATTCGCGAACCATCATTTCAGTTCATTTCAATTCGCGAAATGATTTGCGAACCCACTCCGAAGTTCTGATCTGAATCAAAAGATTCACGAACCCGCTCCGAAGTTCCGATCTGAATAAAAAGATTCACGAACCCGCTCCGAAGTGCCAATATGAATCAAAAGATTCACGAACCCGCTCCGAAGTGCCCATATGAATCAAAAGATTCACGAACCCGCTCCGAAGTTCCGATCTGAATAAAAAGATTCACGAACCCGCTCCGAAGTGCCAATATGAATCAAAAGATTCACGAACCCGCTCCGAAGTGCCGATATGAATCAAATGATTCAATCAAAAGATTCACAAAGCCGCTCCGAAGTGCCGATATGAATCAAAAGATTCACGAACCCGCTCCGAAGTTCCGATCTGAATCAAAAGATTCACGAACCCGCTCCAAAGTGCCGATCTGAATCAAAAGATTCACGAACCCGCTCCGAAGTGCCGATATGAATCAAAAGATTCACGAACCCGCTCCAAAGTTCCGATCTGAATAAAAAGATTCACGAACCCGCTCCGAAGTGCCAATATGAATCAAAAGATTCACGAACCCGCTCCGAAGTGCCCATATGAATCAAAAGATTCACGAACCCGCTCCGAAGTTCCGATCTGAATCAAAAGATTCACAAACCCGCTCCGAAGTGCCGATATGAATCAAAATATTCACGAACCCGCTCCGAAATGCCCATATGACTCAAAAGATTCACGAACCTGCTCCGAAGTTCCGATCTGAATCAAATGCCGATATGAATCAAAAGATTCACGAACCCGCTCCAAAGTGCCGATATGAATCAAAAGATTCACGAACCCGCTCCGAAGTTCAGATCTGAATCAAAAGATTCACGAACCCGCTCCGAAGTTCCGATCTGAATCAAAAGATTCACAAACCCGCTCCGAAGTACCGATATGAATCAAAAGATTCACAAACCCGCTCCGAAGTTCCGATCTGAATCAAATGATTCACGAACCCGCTCCGAAGTTCTGATCTGAATCAAAAGATTTGCGAACCTGTTCCGATCTAAAAATAACATTTAAATTGATTCACAAATGTTACCCGACTTGAAAACTGTATTTTTAACAAACAACAACAAAGTAATACATTTATGTCTTAAGAAGACACAAAGGATGAATAAAGAAATTTTAAAGAAAGAGTTTTCTTTGCTTTCAGACGAACAGAATTTTGGATAGTTTCCATATACTTGTCTAAGTCAACTCTGGATAAAGAAAAAAGAGGTTTGGAGCCAATACATTTTTGTTTGTGTATATGAAATTTGGCCAACATAAATTAATTATGTAA